TTCAACTGAAATCCGCTAATAGCTTTTCAGTAGTGTGTATGAGAGCTTTCTAGTAGCGTGTATGAGAGCCTTCTAGTAGTGTATATGAGAGCTTTCTAGTAGCATGTATGAGAGCTTTCTAGTAGCGTGTATGAGAGCGTTCTAGTAGTGTATATGAGAGCTTTCTAGTAGTGTATATGAGAGCTTTCTAATAGTGTATATGAGAGCGTTCTAATAGTGTATATGAGAGCATTCTAGTAGTGTATATGAGAGCTTTCTAATAGTGTATATGAGAGCGTTCTAATAGTGTATATGAGAGCTTTCTAATAGTGTATATGAGAGCGTTCTAATAGTGTATATGAGAGCGTTCTAATAGTGTATATGAGAGCTTTCTAGTAGTGTATATGAGAGCTTTCTAGTAGTGTATATGAGAGCTTTCTAATAGTGTATATGAGAGCTTTCTAATAGTGTATATGAGAGCGTTCTAGTAGTGTATATGAGAGCGTTCTAGTAGTGTATATGAGAGCGTTCTAGTAGTGTATATGAGAGCTTTTTAATAGTGTATATGAAAGCTTTCTAGTAGTGTGTATGAAAGGTAAAGCTTTTCACCAGTTTATATGAACAGTTCTCACTACTTTGTATGAGAGCTTTTGAGTAGATTATATAAGAGGTAAATGTTTTCACTAGTTTATGTGAGAGCTTTATACTAGTGTTTGTGTGAGTTTTTCAGTATATTATATGGAAGAGTGTAATTTAATATGTGTATATGCAAGTTAATTCTGATTTATGTCCCTGGGGGCACCTCATACCATTCTTTCAGTATTTCAAAAAATACCGAAAGAATGCCAATGGTTTTTATACCCTAAATCCCTAGAGACACTACCGATGGATTGTGGTCTTTGCACACTCTCCCATTAGAATAAATAATGAATGTATTTGCCTTCTCTCTGTGACCCACAGCAAAACTTCTACTCTCCTAATATCCTGGCTTTGGTTGAAAAAACCTGATCCTTCTTTGTGGAGCTCCACGTCTACCAACATATTCCAGCTTGGGGGCCAGCCACCTACTGTTAACTTATTTTCCAGGAGAAATGCTTATAAAATGCAATAACATTTTAACCAAATACAGCTTCATAAAAAAGTAACCATTTCATATCATTACCATAAGTATTTGTCCCAAAAGTGAATTGATAAGACGTGACTTTAATCTCAGAACCAACAGTAACTTTAGCCTTTTGAAAAATAGATTATCTGACATTTCCCTCCCCCAGTTTCTGTGTGTTTTAAGCAGAAACCACGCTGTTTAATTCTGTGTGTGCATCCCAGTGTGTTTATGTAGCTGTGTGTTTGTCTTTGAATAGCAGACGGCTAAATCACCTTTTTCTTTCCTACTGGCTCACTGTCCACAGGGAACCCAGTCTGCTTTGATCTTTGAAGCTAAAAATAATATTTTATTGAAAGCGTAGGCTGTACAGAGATTATATAATGTGGTCCTGGGGAAAAGACTGGACGTTTATGATGCAATTTGATAGACATAGAAGTCTGGGTCAGAACCTTGAAGCACCTTCTAAAATTTCTGAAAACCATTCTTTTGACCAAGTCCAATCAACAATAACATTACTCTGATGGTAATGGTTTAAATTCTCGCATTACATTTTTTATCATAGTGTTGGGATATGAATCTTGCTTTTTATAATATAGATACAGTAACAAGTTTCATTCTAAAGTTTTTTTTTTTTTTACAGAATATCTTGTAAAATAGAAGAAACACAATTTTTTTTGTGTGGACTGGTTTTAGGTAATACTAAAAAATTTTAAACAACAAATTTGCAAACTATTTTCTTAACTAAGACAGCCATATACATACAGTATAGCATTGATTTGAGAGATAAGTCTGTAATAGGTCAGGATTAATTTATTGCATGGGTCTGTAAAATATAAAGTAAACAAAAAAATTTTACCACCTGTGTGAATGTCTTTTTGAAAATGTCTGCCTTTTTTCCTCTGTAATGAGCTGCTGACCTGTTCAGGATGTCCGTTACCTTCTGGCTGTAAACTACTTAAGAAATGGAAATAGTTTCCATGTGCAATGACTAAAAAGATTGCAAGCCTGTTAAAAATGCGTTTATAAATAATAAAAAGTATTATTTAAGCTTGGCAATTGCATTAGCTTTGGAAGCTACATAATTACACCAATGTTCTGTGTACAAAGGGCCGGATTTATCAAAGGTTTGCGTGTATTAAAACGTGAGCTATTTCACTGCGCACGCTAAAAAATGTACAAACTGATCTATCAACAGCGTGCTAAAAGCATTTGATCTTTAAAACGTGCTAAATAGCGCCTGTGATCCATTTAGTACTTTTTCTGCAATGAATATGCAATATGGGGCGTTTACACGCTAAAGTGCGTCTTGTGGGAGGAGAACATGTAAATATATTAATTTAGCACTCGCAAAGTGATTTATCAAACTTGAACGCAATTTTGCTAACGGTATCTGACTCTATATTTAACACGTTTCAAAAGAAGGTGCAAATGGTCTGTATGCGTAATTGCGCACACATGGCAGCGGTTATTGTCGCAAGAAGGAGACATGGGGCCGGATCTATCAAAGGTTTGCGTGTATTAAAACGTGAGCTATTTCACGGCGCACGCTAAAAAATGTACAAACTGATCTATCAACAGCGTGCTAAAAACATTTGGTCTTTAAAACGTGCTAAATAGCGCCTCTGATCCATTTAGTACTTTTTCTGCAATGAATATGCAATATGGGGCGTTTACACGCTAAAGTGCGTCTTGTGGGAGGAGAACATGTAAATATATTAATTTAGCACTCGCAAAGTGATTTATCAAACCTGAACGCAATTTTGCTAACGGTATCTGACTCTATATTTAACACGTTTCAAAAGAAGGTGCAAATGGTCTGTATGCGTAATTGCGCACACATGGCAGCGGTTATTGTCGCAAGAAGGAGACATGGAAATAAAGCAAGGAGACGCATTGTTTCACTCCGTGTGAATATTTTTGCAATGAACGAGGAAACGATCATCAAAACATATCGTTTATCCAGCATTGCCATTTTGGAGCTGTTGGGGGAACTCCGAATGGATTTGGAGCCAGCCACAAGGAGGACCCACGCAATACCAGATATCACAAAACTCCTTGCAACATTGCACTTTTTTGCATCTGGGTCATTCCAGCGTGCGGTTGCAGCGTGAGCTGGGATCTCCCAATCTCGTTTTTTCAGAAGTTCTGTCCGACGGGGTCGGGGTTCTCCCCCTGCGCCTGTGGAGCAACGTGCCAAATGCTGCGGGGATCTCATCCACAGTCACAGGCCAATACAAAACACCTGTTTTTTTTTGTGTTTTTTTTTTACTGCAGCACATACCACCTTAGGGAATAAAGGTTGCCAATTTATAAATATAAATATATATATATATATATATATATATATATATATATATATATATATTTACTTATTTTTTTTTTTTGTTGGGGGTCACTGTAAGATTTAAATTTCTTAATGCACTAGTTTGTACAGACTACAAACTACTTTGCCGCAAACCACAAAACGCGCAAAACCATCATTTAAATAGGGCGTCTCCAACAGTTTTGCACCTTCCACCAGTTACGCAATCGCTCTTGTTAAATCACCCGCAAACCATGGTTCAGCCCCTCGCGCAAAATTCCAGTTTGCGAGCGCAAATTACTGCACGCAAAATTGGATCTTGATAAATCCGGCCCATGGAAATGAAGCAAGGAGACGCAGAGAACGCATTTTTTCACTCCGTGTGAATATTTTTGGAATGAACGAGGAAACGATCATCAAAACATATCGTTTATCCAGCATTGCCATTTTGGAGCTGTTGGGGGAACTCCGAATGGATTTGGAGCCAGCCACAAGGAGGACCCACGCAATACCAGATACCACAAAACTCCTTGCAACATTGCACTTTTTTGCATCTGGGTCATTCCAGCGTACGGTTGCAGCGTGAGCTGGGATCTCCTAATCTCGTTTTTTCAGAAGTGCTGTCCGACGGGGTCGGGGTTCTCCCCCTGCGCCTGTGGAGCAACGTGCCAAATGCTGCGGGGATCTCATCCACAGTCACAGGCCAATACAAAACACCTGTTTTTTTTTTGTTTGTTTTTTTTTACTGCAGCACATACCACCTTAGGGAATAAAGGTTGCCAATTTATAAATAAATAAATATATATATATATATATATATATATATATATATATATATATATATATATATATACTTATTTATTTTTTTTTGTTGGGGGTCACTGTAAGATTTAAATTTCTTAATGCACTAGTTTGTACAGACTACAAACTACTTTGCCGCAAACCACAAAACGCGCAAAACCATCATTTAAATAGGGCGTCTCCAACAGTTTTGCACCTTCCACCAGTTACGCAATCGCTCTTGTTAAATCACCCGCAAACCATGGTTCAGCCCCTCGCGCAAAATTCCACTTTGCGAGCGCAAATTACTGCACGCAAAATTGGATCTTGATAAATCCGGCCCAAAATGTTTTTTTCCCCCCTTTTTGTTGAGTGGTGGGGGGGATTCAAACAAAACTGTCGGTATCAACCAAAATTACAGCCAGTGAGTTATTTCAAAATGTCTGTTACCAGACCGTGTTAATGTCTGTATAATTTTATATACCCCATCTCTTTCATTATACTGTAACAAACAACTCAATTCACATAGATTCTAATGCTTTGTTTTTTTTTTTTTTGCAAAATCAATCTGTATATTTTACTTGAGCTAGGGAATTAAATAAGGGAATGGATTGCATTCTTGCTAAGCTGAGGAAAAAAATAGACACTATCAAAGTGTCACTCAGGTGCACATTATGGGTCAAATTCCCCAAAAATGGGTAGAATCACACTCTTCAGGCACCAAAATATACATCCGAGCATGTTTCACTACTAAAAAGCAATCTAATATATTCCTAGATTTGTTGGTATTTTTAAGATTAGAAATCTAATTCTCCTTTTTCCTGTACTTTGCAGCTCGCCACATGGGACCCAGTTCATGGACTGAATGGTACTTTGACTGATAGGAAACTGGAAAACAACATGAGAGGAGTAGTGCTAAGAGTCGTCACTGTTCTGGTAAGCAGGTTATGAGTGTATCGACACACATACTGACCAGGCTTTTATCCATCAATGCATACAGGCACACATTGTACGCCCTTTATTAAAAAAAATGATAATTGAACACCCCATTTTTGATGTACAGCTTTGGCACGCCCTCCTTTTCCCCCTGAAACCTTGATCAAATGTTAAAAATCTTACAAGCAACAGATGCTGGAGTTGGAAAATTGTAATTTTTGCTGCTCGACACACCACATCAACCAATCAGAGAAGCTGATCTGCGAGCTGGCAGTGAGACAAACACAGCACTGCTGATGCGGAAAGCTATGATCAGTTACTTAAAGGGTCTAAACCTGCCAGTAAAATATGTTCCCTTTTATTATTCTGGTGGTTGCAGTTTGAAACACAAACCTGAACAACACAAACAACAACAAATCTCCAAAGTTGAACGGGCCTGAGACAGCTGTTGCTGGGGATTCCCAGTGACAGCGCACCACCAGTATTCGGGGGGTCTGAGCAGCTCCAACAGCGAAATAATATTTTAGGGCAGGATCACAATCATCTTGATGAACTGACTGCACCGACAATGTTTTGAGATGAACCTTGTTATATAAAAATATATGAAAATGACTTTTTACCTACTGATGACAGCAAATATAGCAAAGCCACTCTGACATTGAACACAGGAGCAGCAGAAGCAGCAGATTTACCTGGAGACACTTAGGACACTAAGGAGCATCAAAGATGATCTTGAGGCACGTCTGACCTTTATGTACAAGGTTGAAAATTAACCTGCAGGCACCTTTTTGCTGCTCTAATTGCGGTATGAATGTAGCATTATACTTCCCGATTGTTGAAATTGACCTATGAAACATTATATTGTACCAAAAAATTATCTCATGTCTTCCTTATGAAATTTCCACCTCTAGTCAAGCACACATACTTCCCATAATCAACATGAAAGTAGTAATGTAACAAAAACAAAAAGTTAGCTGCATTAAAGCTCAAAATGCAGGAAAAAAGCGTTTCAAATACCCCAAGATGGCTGTGCAAAGTCTAAAGATGTGATACACCGAGGTGTGTAAACCCTATGAAATATTCCTAGCTAAAAGCCTGATACACACATCCTCCAACACTCACAGGCACACACACAATCAGTTTCTCCTAAAAAGAGCTGTTTTTCACTCAGAATAATGAAAATGGACTATTTTGATCTATGCAATTGTGTCAGACATAATTTTACTCTGTTACGCTTTCGTTTTAAGTTGTAGCTTTATCTCGATCCACCAACACTGTCTCTGAAGAGCTAAAGAAAAACATGTTAAGAGCTAATGTAAGGAAAAGAATAAATACAAACAAATTTCACAGAGAATAATGATAGGTCAAGCTGTTGGCAGTTTTTCCATATATATATTATTCATTAATTTGACAGAAAATGACCAAGATCATTGGAGTCTTGCAGTGTTAATGCTCCTGCTTATCAGCTTATTCTACTGTATCTGACATGCAGGATCAATTGGATTAAATCCTATGAGTGCTTAAAGGTTTTAGTGTTATGAATTTATGAATAACCTGTCTATGAAGTCTGAGACTGAGGGAAAAATCCCGACCCCTCTTTTTCCTGTTTAGTTAATTTTGAAGTCCCTAATTTCCGTATCCCTGAAAAAGAATAATGATATGATTGTGTTTTTTAACTATCAACCTATGGTTCTTTTCCTATCTCTAGAAAAGGGTGATGCTGTCTGGTAATAGCCTAAAAGAAGACTGTTTGTGCACATTTAAATGATATGTTGCACCTGTGCTTCAGACTTCATTTGTTATTGCTCAGGTTAAGTAACTGTGTGAGTGGGTGGATGTTTGCGTATGTTTAATCTAGATTTTTTAAAGGTTCATAAAATAGATTTTTTTCTGTTTTGCTTCTGAATGTTTTTTCTCCTAACATCACTGTGAGGCACAGCATTTCTCAGATGAACTATTGATATTTCTTATTGTGCAAAACACAGAAAACTATTGGCACTTTTTGCTCACATGTCCCTACACCCCAGACCCCTCTAAACACACACATGCACACACCAAGGCAGGCTCAAAGAACAACAGGTTCAGTTTTTCCATTATCAAACAGTGTTGAATAGTTATTGAGCGGAAATCGCTAAGTAGATCATGGCCCACTTAGAGACGTTGACTTTAAATCTTTGCTATTGATTATCTGGCCCTGTATTAATCAATCAGTATTTTACTGGAAAGGCTGTGTCTCAGTAATTATTTGTGGGGTCTCTGTTAGTGCTTAGAGAAATGACGCAATTCACAAATCTGACCAAAACATATAACAGCTGTAAAAATCAATTTGTTGTAACTTTGTATATTAACAAAAGAACAAGAGTTTATTTATATGGATACATTGAAGTGGGATAAACTCTTGGTATTTGTTAAAGTTCTACTCTTTGAATATATTTTTTTTATTTTGATAGTCCTCAATTCACTAGTCTTTCTTCTGCTGCTGTGTAGTGTTACCCTCTCATGTTGCATTTTTAATGTAGCTCAGGGCTACCTTTTATAACAATATATGGGCTCATGAAAAATAAAATGTAATTTTCAAGATTTATTACAGGCAGATCCACATGACATGCCATTCGACAAATGCAGGTAAAGCTTGAAAGTGTCTTTCAGGTTCAATATACGCCTAGGCTCCATGACCCAAGTTTAGACAACAGAGAATTTTTTTTTTCCACAACCTGAAACCTTGTCAAAATTGTCATACCTGGGATATTTGTTCAAAATTTTATATTTTTTCTAAATGTGGGTAATTGTACTGCTGCTCAGACAAACAAATTTTTTTTACTTTCCCTAGTTTTAAGTGTGTTTGTCATGATTGGCTTAAGAGACTTAACCCACATGCAGAACACCACTGGAAGCAGAGTAAAAGTTTAACAGAGTTTATTGAATGGTTTTCACAGAGAGAACATGAACTGGTTCAGGCACAGGCCCGGGGCTGGAATCACTGATGTCTGCAGAGACGGATAGTTTGATTAGCCAGGCAATCAGATGGTTTGTCGAGTTAATTAATTCAGAATATATCTTGAAGAGGTCCAGACAGATCTTTTGCGAGGGAGGGAACCGGTTGGGTCCAGAGACTGTTGGTTCAGCAGAGTGCTCAGCAGCAGCAGCGTCTAGCTTCTGACTTGTGAGTGGCAGACCTTGGTTTGAGTTTCCAGCTCTTCCTTGAGAGCAGCAGGAGTCCAGATTGAAATCTTCAGGTTTGGCTTCCTTGGGCAGGCAGGCAGGTTTACAGGCAAAGCTCATCCAGAGCTTTAGACTTTAGACGGGTTTCCTGTGAGCAAGAAGACAGAGGCAGGTTAGAATCAGGTTTCTCTCTAGAGACAACTAAGATTCTTTCAGAATAACAGAGGCTCAGGTTCGCTAACCAAACTTGGTCAACACTGCGGCGTTGAAGGAAGGTCTGGCTGCTGCTTAAGTAGGAAGGTCTCCTGATGGGCTGATGAGCTTCAGGTGTGCTGGAGGCTCCAGCCCAGGAGACCCACAGCGCACTCTGCTGGAGAAAGGTGGTAAATCTCCAGATCCCAACAGTGTTGTACCGAGTTGATAGTCTAGCACTAGTTGAACTTTATTTTGCTCTCTATTTTCAATTGCTTTTAATATACTTTTAAAAATCTTTGCTTCTTTTTGAACAAGAACCATTGCAATATGACAAAAACTAAAATTTCACATATTGGTTCCAAGCCCCTGCTTTATACCAGTGTTAGATATTTGTTCATTTATTTAATACGTTTTCAAAAAGATACAGACTGCCCAAAATCCTCATTATGTATGTTGTGCTGAAGGACACTGTTCTATTAGTCATGTCCAGTATCTAGAAGGTTTTGATCTCCTTTTAATATACAGAGGATTAAAGTCTCTTGTCTTATGCATTGATCAGCATATATTTATAGTGTGCTTTTGAGTCACAAAAAAAAGCACACTCAAATGCTTTTTGGGGTCATATTTTTCATTTTTTGGATAGAGCAACAGCAACTTAATCTTGTTTTCATTACAATAGAAAATCTGGTATTATGCATAAATCTGCAAGGACATTTTTCAAACTATGTTTTAAAATAAGTTTGACATACAAAGCCACAGCGTTTTGAAATGGTTCACCGTTCTGTGAAATCACCACAACTCTGTCAGTCCCAGCATCCCTTCTGTGGGCTTTTTGAAATGTCATTACTTTATTTTTAAGGGAAATTGCAGTTCCTTCCCCCTGGTTCATTTCTCCAGAAACACAGACCCAGCAACGAGACCACATGTGGTACATCCTTCAAGAGGGGGCAGAATTAACCTGTGCCAAAGAAAGTGCAGTGCAATTTTATCAGGGTAGATGGAAATATGAGGTGGGGGCCAATTTCACAATTACCAAAAATTACAGAATATTATCTAATATAGAAGCATAGAGTAGTGCAATGATTGGTTAAAGCAGAGAAAGTAATGCAAGTATAAACAGAGGCTTCAAAATAATTATGTATAAGTAAAAAAGGACAGTGGTGTAAAATAAAAAAATAAAAATTCTAGTTTAATTTAATCTAAAATGTGAACTAAAAGATGATGTTTGAAATAATTTGTCACCCATGGCCTTTCAAAAGTTAGACTTATTTCAATCTGAAAAACTCACACAAAGAGAAAAGGCAATTAGGAGAAATTTATCAATACAATTACTTTGTCTTTGGCGCTCAGACCTCGGCAGGAAACATAGCACTTAAATTTGATAGATGTGCATGAACAGGAGCAAAGAATAGGGCTGTTTCCCCGCCTGGCCTGAAACTGGTGGTGGAGTGGAGATGGATGAAGTTGGTCAGTCTGTAGACTGCTGGTTAGCGAGAGGGTCTGCTGAGCTTTATAGGGAGATCCAGTGGACTGCGTGTGCTGATAGTAGAGCTTCACTCAGGGACCTGGAAGATGGAAGTCCAGTTGGATAACACAGGTTGAGAGAACCTGTCCATGATGATCAAGCTTGGAGCGACTGTGGA